TAATCTTTGTTTTATATCTGAGTAAAGCTTAAGGTATGCTTAGTATCATCTTCTTATTAGTCTCATATGGACTCCACAGCACTGTATCACCGTTTGAACTGGTGGGTCCAGCTGGACTGTTACATTCAGTTCTGCACGTAGCTGAGCTTTAATAACATGCACACTGTTATGTAATTCACGCACGTTTACATACACACTTAATAAGAACAGGAGGGACAGTCTTTCTCTGATAGATACACTTTCACAAAATGCACAATATAATACACACTTGTTTTTCTCTAAAAGTAGCAGTTGATGCCTATATAAGGAAACGTTTCTGAAAGGAGGGCGAATGTTATCATTTCCAGTAAAGATCTAACTGTGATGTCATCATGGCAATATAAGGAGACGGGATGATCTGTTCGACGAAGGATTGTATTGCAAATTGTCTTTCCCACACTGACTGCGCAAAGTGTGTAATAAAGATCACTATTTTTGACACCTTTACTTCGATCCAGTCTGCTTTCTTCTCTGAACCAGCCGAACCAACCACAACAATTTTTGGTGCCGAAACTCCGGTGGGGAGGAGAAGAGCTTGCGACTGCTTCTTGGAGGTGACAAAGAGACGAATGCCAGCAGCTTATCTGAGTGACGCCAGGCGATATAAGAAAGGTGAGTAGTGCCACCTGTTGATGTTTATCCAAAGGCGCTATATTGGAAGTTAAAACTAAATTTAAATAATATTCACTCAGTATGGGCTTCTGGTGTTGGTCCATAGTGATCTTGTGTAATTAGTTTTAAAATAGGGCATATTGGTCTGATCAAATTTATTGCTGTTTATTCTGGGAGTGAATTTTGAGTTAAGAGGTTATATGTGGAGAAGATATACGGTTTAAGGTGTTTAAAGAAGGAGTGGGTTGACTGGATGCCAGCCAGTCGCTCGGTAGCGTAGGGATTGTGGTTTAATTGACCAGCAGAAATGCGGTTTCGGGCGTCAGATAATTAATAAGGGGGGGCAGAGTGCCCACGGTGAGGCTTTTAAAACAAGTAAATTTTCTTAGGACGGGGGACGCGGTCCCCTAGGAATGCAGCTCTCGTTCAGCAGGTGGCACTGACCCCTCATCACGGACGCGTGGTTAGGTTTTAGCCCGGAGTTGGTCCTCCGCCGAGAACTTGGGACACTCGGTTAAAAGGCCAGACAATCAATGGGTGATTGTCTTATACTGCATTTTTTGATCGACAGGGTCACGGACCTGGCTGTAACCTTAATGTCGGGGACTTGTGAACTTTAAGTAAAGCCAAAAGTGTGATCTGGGATATTTCACACGGCTGGTGGAGGTCCTTGTTTTTTATCTGACAGGAAGCAGTTATAAATTAAGTAGAATTTAAGAATCTGACCGCGTTCGGGAGGGCGTTTCCCGAAGCGTGTAATTGGTCAGCAAGAGCGCGGCTCTGGGCTATAGATGCTTTTAAATCAGTCAAAAAACTTAGGAACACCGCTAAAGAAATAAACGAGATAAGTGGTTCTGGCATGCGGTGTTTTCTTATGTCAATGCGGCCCGTGTGTAAATAGAATATAAATTACCCATGTGTGTGAATTTAAAAGTGTAAACTGTATAAACTGTCTTTTGTGGGTGAATTTCCTCTGTGTGGATCCAGAGTGTGAAAAAACGAAAACGCCTTTCTCTTCTCTCACCAAAGAGGAGAGGAGAGTGTGTGTGTGTATTTTTCTTAGGAGAAGGAGGGGCTGTGCGGTCCTGTGCGGTAGCGGGCACACGCTCGCGAGGACGAGCGGGGTGTGTGTGTGTGTTGGCCTCATCTCCTTATTTCTCCATTTTTTGCTTCTTACTTGTTGGTTAGGTGAAAGTGTCTTTCAGAAGTGTGGTTAAAAGATTACAGTATATTAAATAAACTAAACCTTGTAGTCGTGTGTTTGTGATTTCCTAATGTGAGTATGGTTTAATGAAATTTCATGAGTAATGATCTCTTGTGTAAAACTCCCGTAAGGTAGGAGTGTGGTGATAAATATACTGACAAAATTTGAGAACTTTGTGTGATTGCTGGGAGATTTTCTACTTGGGTTGTATTTCCTTCTCTCCCTGGAAAAGGCAGAGATCTGTGCTTTATTTGACGTTGTGTATATAAAGTCTTTTAAAGGTTGGTTGAGTCTCTCGTTATAAGGAGAGAAAACGGTGTCCATAGCAGAGTGTCTGGATTATTTTTATGTGTGAAAACTTTGTAGTTGTTAGGGAAGTGAATGTGAGAGTGAATTTTCGTTGGCTTTGTGTGCTGAAAACTGTTGTATTAGACGTTTGTGAAGTTCTTCTCTTGAAAAGAGGAATAGTGTGTGTGTGTGTGTGTGTGTATGTGTGTCTGTGGGCGGTCTCTCTCTCTCAGGCTGGAGCCTAGCGGAAGTTCGGCTTAGCCAGCTTGTGAGATTCTGACTGCCGACAAGGAAATACAGCGAGGCAACCCCAAAGGGAGGAGCCTAAGACCGGCCATTTTGGTAAGGTAAGTGAGGTCAAAAAGCAAAATGGCTGAAGGGGAAAAGGCGACCCCTGGTGGGGGAAAAAGATACAAGCCATTGAAGGAACAAATACAGCAATTGCAGAAAGCCATTAAAATGACTGCTGAAGGGACCTCGAAGGAGGTTGCCCGCCAATGTCAAGACCTGGAAAAAGAGGTAAAAGAATTATGTGAAAAACAACAGAAGACGTTGGAGGACAGAATCCCTCTGCATTCCATCTTTCAAATTGAAGGCCAGAAATGTGAGGAGAGGATTAAGGAGCTTGAAGAGGAATCCTTAGGACGTTTTCAGGGGAGAAAATTAAAGGCTGAAAAGAAGCTCATGATGGAAAAACAAAGTAAGTATTGCAAGCTTATGATTGTCTCCCAAGGCATTTCTCACTGGATGCAAGAGGAAGTGAAAGACACCAAACCAGTCTCATCAAAGGGAGTTGAGGCTGAGGGAAAGCTATATCCCAGCCTGAAGGAATTCCTGAGTGCCCCACCGCCACCTTATATTTGTCCAGTAGTGACTTTGGAGGGTGGCACACTCTGGGGGCCGGGAGGAAAAACAGGAACTGTTAGAGGAGGACTTCTGGACGTACAGGAGAATCCTATACCATCCACATCTGCTCGGAGTACAGAGGGGGCAGACACAAGAGTGGGGCAGCCTCAATCAGCAGCAGCTGGATCACAGGTAAGTCAGCCCGACCCAGCTGCTGGGACATCACAAGGAAGTACTACACGGGGGATGATCTTGATCCCTCCCTCTATTTTTAGCCCAGATGGAGCTACAGAAGAAGCTCAACCTGTGGCTTCCACAAGTACAGGTCAGGTGACACCACCACAGCCCACCCAGGGAGATCCATCCCAGGAGGTCTGGACTTCAGAGGACAATTCACCTTCAGTGGAGTACCAGAAGGGACCATTAAAGTCAAAAAACCAGTCAGAGGTCGACAGTTGACAACTGTGTGAAAGAACAGTGGCAAGGCCACGTCGTTGGAAAAGTGTCTGACAACCGAGAGGCTGTGATAAAGTTGGAACGGATGTTGAAAAAACTGGAGGAAGAAGCCGTGGCATCACCACGAAGCGTAGCACAAATGCTTAATGCATTGGAAAAGGACTTGGCGGCCTCTGTAACTAAAGCACGAAAATCTAGAGAAGTGTCGAACCTGGAAAGGGGAGGATTCGCCCCAAACTTTCAGGGACCCCCAGGAATGACGACGCTTCGTTCTGGGAGGGTTTTGGATGAAGTAAGAGATAAGAGACCGTCGATTTTTGAAAAGAATCGGAAGCAGAATGTTGCATTGCAAACCGAAGAAGGGCAGTGTGACACAGAGGAGGAATTGCCACTCAAAATGCCTCTATTGCCGGGTCCACGGGGTGAACCAGTCTACCACCCCTATAATATCAGAGATCTTGAGGCTCTGGTGAAGCAGCTGCCCCCGATCACGGAGGGAGGAGCGGCTTGGTTGAGAAGACTAGCGAGTTTAACAGAAGGAGAGGAATTGGCATTGGGGGATTTTCGCGCTATCGGTGGGAGGACCTTCAGAGGAGGAGGCCTTGCAGATGTGGAAGAGATAGCAAGAACTGTATGCCAACCAAACGATCTCCCCTATGCAAGGGTGCGAAATGCTCTCTCTGATGCAGTGCGTGAGAAGTATCCGTCCCATAATACTGGCACTACACCTAGGATTGTTTGTAGTTCAGAACAGTCCCCTAGAGAGTTTGTGGAACACGCAAAAGAACAGTGGATTCTCCAAACTGGAGAACATCCTGGGCAGAATGGTGAACCAAGGGTGTGGTTCCGATCTGCAGTTTTAGCAGGTCTGCCAGAACGAGTGAGAGCAGATGTACAAAAGAATCCTGATTTTGCGGTGGCGGATTCAGCAAAATGGGAGAGGCATATAATACATCGACTTGAGCTGGAGAAGGACGAGGTGAACAAGAAAAAACAGGAGCTGGAGGAGGCGCAAGGGCAGTTAGTAAAATTGAAATTGGCTGAGACGAGAGAAAAACTACACGAAAAGAAAAAGGAAAACAAAGATGGACCTAAGAAGATGCTGGTGGCACAGCCACGGGGCGATCCGGGGCCTGATTGGCCAGATTTGGATCCGGTTCTGTACCCTGATGACCGATGGCCCGTCAATGGATTCCCAAGGCAAGGAAGACCCGCGGGGAATTGGGGGACCACTAGGTCGTTGAGGGGGCGTGGTGGATCCCAAAGGGGAGGTGGACCAAGGGGCCGTGGTCTGGGGGGACCTATGCTGGACCCAAATGTATGCCGAAGGTGTGGAGGACGAGGACATTGGGCTCGTAATTGTCCTACGCCATGGCTACCAGAAACAGGTTATCCATCATCACCCCAGGCACAGGGAGCTTTTCGAGGCAGAGTGGTCCAGACAAGGGGACATTAAGCTCCAAACCCAAGTATGGCACCAGCGGCTCAGTATCCCCTGGCCTATTGGGGCGGAGAGGAGGAGCTGTACTGACGGGACCCACAGAGACCAGACAACATGGGTATGGCAGATCCGATGTTGTCGATGCAGGTGGAAGGAACTGATATGACCTTTCTTGTGGACACTGGAGCGACCTATTCAACACTGAGACAAAAACCAAGCAGTACCACATTTTCCAACCACGTGGTCAGTGTCGTAGGCTTCTCTGGGGTACCGATGACTCTGCCAACAACCAATCCAACCCTGACGGTGCTGGGAAAACAGACATTGAAGCACAGCTATGTGGTATCTCCCCATGTGCCTGTGAACCTGATGGGCAGGGATCTGCTCATTAAATTGGGGGCCACTATCATGTGTTCAGCTGATGGACTAACAGTTACACTTCCAGGAGGAAAAGAGTTTCCGTGCCTGGGGACATTTTCAAAGAACCAGTACTTACTGAAAGACTGTGAACAAATGACCGCTGACATCTATTGGGGTCGTATGGTGGAAGAAGGCATACTAAGACAGTATCAGTTGTGGAAACCTTGGATTATGGCCTTGGCGGTCTATTCTGCCCCCCGGGATCCATTCCATGTGACGCTCTTCTATGATAGGAACGATGATGAAATTTATAGGGACCTGTTCCAGTCTGACCTTGAAGGTCAGACCTGGAATGTGTGTTCTCAAAACATCTATGTTGGTCCTGAAGGCGTCGCCGCAGCTGTAAATTTAACCGAAGAGCAACGGCCTTGGTTCAAAATGGGACCTGATTCAGTGCCCCACATTACATTGGCGGTCCATGAGAGTCATCAGGCGAAGGAGCTGGGGACAATGGTCAAGAGAGCCCTCGAGGAACCTGGCTGGCAGGCTACTCAAATTCCAGATGTTTGGTACTCGCCAAAATGCAAAACTTACCGTATCACTTGTCAATCAGAGGACACAGTGATTTTGGGGCATGAACAAATCTCAAGAATCCATGGAAGAGAAAGAGTAGACCATGCGGATGCAGTTGCCGCACTTGCGACTCTTCCTGACACCTTGTGGTCAGCAGGGCCCACAGATGTGGGTCTGACAACTTGTTCGCCTGTTCTGTTCCAGCTGAAGTCGCAAACGCCAATTTGGAAACCGCAGTATAGGCAAAAGAGAGAAGCTGAGGAGGGAATCGCA